AAAAATATCTAAATTTTGAAGTAAGAAGCTTACCAGTTCGGATCGTAGAGGCTCCTGGATGGAAGCGCCGATCTGAAGCGTCCGAGTTGGGTCTGCCGCTGAGGTCGGGACTGTGACTGTTTCTTCCGTGGGCGCGGCTCATTCTTCGCCTTTCTCCGTTGGCCGCTCCAGTTCGAGGTTGTCGGCCACCTTGGTCTTTCCCTTCAGGGTGGCGACATAACACTTGCGGGACTCGAGCTGGTCGCCCCGTGCTACCCCCACATTGAAGTCTGTTGGGAACTTCATAGCCAAATGGTAAGTGGAGACCACCGCCCGTAGGACATGGGTGATCGGCCGACCTATTATGGCATTGTAGGGGGAGGGGGTCGTGACCACCAGGAAGTCGTGTTTGAATCTGACTATGCAAGGCCATGTGCCAACTTCCACAGGTACTGTTATTTTCCCAAGGGGCCGGACTTCTTCCCCGCTGAAGCCCACCAAAGGAGTGTTCGCAGGCTTCAGGTCACTTCTCTGCAACTGAAGCTGGTCGAACGCAGCTTTGAAGAGGATGTCGGCCGAGCTGCCTGAGTCGATGAGTACGCGCCTGACCTCGAAGTCGTTGATTCTCAGCTTTATTACGAGTGCGTCGTCATGGGGGTAGTGGACCCCTCGCGCATCATCTTCTGTGAAGAAAATTGTTTCTTCTGTCCTCGGCTTCTTTGGAGGATTCTGCTCTTCTCGGGCGGCCTCACGAACTGACGTCCGAGCTGTTGCTGAAGTGCAACCCGCAACGATCGAACCTCCCACTATCATGTGGATGGTCCCCCGGACCGGCCTCTCTTCCGGAGGCCGCCTCTGTGGCTGTTCGGTCGGCTTGCTGCTGGACTCGGGAGCATCCTTACCGTGCTCCCCTTGCCGACCTGCTTTATTATTATTATTACTATTATTATTATTATGTACAAAATTTCTTAAATACCCGCGATGGATGAGCTCCTCAATCTCGTCGCGGAGGTTTTTACAATTTTCGGTACTATGACCGTGATCCCTATGAAAACTGCAGTACAGATTCTTAGTTCTTTCATTGGGATTCCCCTTCAAATGGGGTGGCCACTTCACATATGGGGGGCGTCTTTGATTGCCATCAGGATTTCGGCCCGCTTTGCGTTCAGTGGGGTGTAGTCAGCTCGGTCCGCTACTGGAGCTCGAAACGAATGACCCGGCTTTGCCCCCCGAGCTGCATCTTTTTTCTTTCGGCTGTCCCCTTGGCTGGGAGGCTCTCCTTCCCTCTTCCTCTTTGTGTGTCACGCCTTTCTTGGCTGCTGCAAGGCGCACGACGGGGTCTAGGCACGGTATCTGCATACAAGCATCGTTGAACCGCTTGATATAGCCCCGGATGGACTCTCCCTCTCTCTGCACTATGCCGAGGAGGCTTTCTTCAATCCGCGGGCACCGTTTGCTGGTGACGAAGTGGGACGTGAAGGCTTTCGCGAACTGCGCCCAACTTCTTATCGACCCAGGTGCCAAGTTTCAGTACCATGTACGGGCTACTCCTCTAAAAGTGGTGGAGAAGGCCACGCACATGCACGACTCGCTGGCTCTCGCCAGGTGCATCTGTGACTGGAAGGCATCTACGTGATCATTCGGGTCAAACGACCCGTCATACTTGTCAAGAGGGGGGAGCTTGAAGTCTTTAGGCATTGGGACTGCCAGGAGTTCGGAAGACAGGGGGGATGGAACTGAGAGGAGGGGAGCTTTAACTTCGGCCGAGCTTACTTCTTTGCCCCCAAGCTTGGGCAAATCGCGGGTGACAGATCGGCGAGCTCGGCGGCGACGTCTCTACTTCTTAGTGGGCTCGGCGTTTGTACTACTCACCTCTGTGCTATCCGGGATGGTGTGTGCAGGAAGCAGCTCGGGCCGCTGGTGATGACTGTGGACAGAGGGATCCTGCTTAGAGCCTGCAGCCAGAATCTCGAACCGGTTCTCTAAGAATGGGGTATCGGGCTTGGAGGGCTGAGACGATGTGGACTTGGCGAGCTGGGGTCCTTCTGACCTGACCGCCCATGGCGAGGCCGGAGTGGCCGGTCTTTCCTGTCTACTGCGGGAGGAGGCCTGGCTCCTTGGAGGGTTCTGGGGGGCCTTTCCTTGGCGAGAAAGGTGCTCCTCTTGACGATGGGACTTAGCCCGCTGTGAGGCTGGGTGCCGAGGAGGGAGCTGCAATTGCTGAAGCTAAGGTTGTGGCAACTGGGGAAATTGCTGCTGATACTGGTACTAGGAGACCTGGTGTAGCACATGCTGTTGATAGATCTGAAACTTTTGAAACTGTTGCATTTGAGCTTGCATGGCCCGCATGCACTGTACCAAATCTTCCAGCTGGTTTGGGTTGGCCGCTGGGGGCACAACCGAGGGTTCAGTGAAGGTTGTTCCGACTGTGGTAGGGAGTGGAGCAACGACGGGTGCCCCTGCAAGAGGCACGTTCAAACTAGGGATCCCGTCCGCTGAGAGGGGGACGGAGAACTGTCCGATGCAGACAGTAGGAAGCTGAGGCTGTTCCCTGGAGTTATTCATCTCCGTGCTTCGTCCGATATTGCTTGAGGACGCCATGAGTGTTGAGTTTTTGAAGAGTAAAAAGATGTGAAAGTTTAGAGAAAGGCTTTTCGAAGCGTTTCCCACAGACGGCGCCAAATGATGTAGTGCGATCCGGTCACCCCTAGCTGGCACTCACGTGGCTCCCGGAAGGTACCTGAGATGAGGAAGAAGAAGAATCCCCGGGGAGTTTACCCGGTGGGGATACTCCGATGCTTAAGTTAGTACTCTGTAGGAGAAGCAAAAAGGAGACGAAGGCTAAGAGTGCAGATAGCGCGTTCTCACTATACTCGAGAGATTAGAGGTCTCAAGAAGAAGTTTCTCTTCAGCCCTAAGGGCTTTTATAGGGGCATTCACGTCAGGTCGGGCATAACCGCCACTGGGCTCCTGCCACAGCCGTTACCTGCCAGGGCTGCGCAGGTGGCCGTTGTGGCGTACGTCTCGCCCGGGTGAGTGACACGTCTCCGAAGTGGAAGGCACGCCTTTGCCTGCTGAGAGACGTAGATGCAGACTGGCGAAAGGACTGAGACTACGCCGTTAGTAAGGGATATGGTGCAGTATGATCAGTGCGGTCTGTCAGTCAGAAGCTTCCTGAGGAGCGCCCATGCAGCTCATTCGCGAACTATTTTGTAGCGAGCTTGGAACACTCCAGGATTACCCTTAGTAGAATTGGTCCTTGGGATGACTTGTCTGCTTGGGAGCTCGGACGAGCTAATAACTTTAGCTCGCGAGCTAAAGTTGCCTCGGAGTATCTCTTCAAAGGTAGCTCGGGGAACCCGGGGCTCGCGTTGTGGCGAGCTTCTCCTTTTGTGAGCTACCATGTAGCAAGCTGCTTCATAGGCCCCGTCACTTGGTCGCACCAGGCTATAACGCTGAGCTGTCGCTCGTGCTGAGTCAGTGTCCATGTGTCACCGTTTCATAGGTTGGGTCAAATCGTCCTCCATCACTAGTTAATGAAACACCATCCTAGGAGAGGATATATTATCTTTAGGAGAGGGAGATCTAATCTAAGTAGAGATCCATAAAGCTGTCTTGAGAAAAGATTATAAAGAATGTCACCAAACCTTCTATCAGGACATACATAAGCTACAGCTAAGTATTTTATCTAGTTAATGAAACACCTTCATCACAGGAGAGGATATATGATCTTTAGGTGAGGGAGATCCAATCTCACTAAGTAGAGATCCATAAAGCAGTCTTGAGGAAAGGTTATAAAGAATGGCACCGAACCTTCTATCAGGACATATGTAAGCTACAGCTAACATGATTTGGCAATATGAACTATTATTGCTTTTTTCTCATATCCAAGTTGTGCTTTGCAGTTATTGGCAATGGAGGCCATATATGGGGAGAATGTTTTCATCCTTAACAGGAAGGAGGGCTTACGTTCTTTTCAGGTTTTGCAATAATTGATTAACTCTCTATCTTGTCTACAGCTATAAAGAAGAAAATAGTCCGACACATGTCTGTTGTTTTGCAGATCCATATACATATTGAATCTCCTCATGAACTCACTGTATTTGCAAAGCTTAATTCCTCCAATGAAAAGTTGAAATTTGGAGGAAAAGGTGGTGACCCCATTACTGCAAGCAGTGCTTCAGATGAGTTTTCATACACATTCAAAGTCCAACATCTCCCACCAATTATTTTGGCATGTTTATTACCCAAATCATACCCGAGCCATACCTCTCCTTATTTTACCATCTCAATACAGTGGTTGGATTCTGCAAAGATAGCCAGTCTTTGTAGCATGCTAGATTCAATATGGATGGAACAACCAAAGCGGGAGGTTATATACCCATGGGTGGAATGGCTGTGCAGCTCTTCTCTTTCTTATTTAGGGTTTGATAAAGAAATAGTCCTTGGTGCCTATGACATGCAAGATACCGGAGACAGGCGTGCAATTTCAGGAATTATATCACCAGATGTTGTTATTCCTTCAATTATGAGTTATAATGCTGAAAAATGCCATGTAAATTTTCTTCAAGATTTACATGAATGCTGCATCTGTTTTAGTGAGTTTGCAGGTACCTTCCACTTTCCACTGTAAGATATATACTGTTAAAGTTACATCTTATAGTATACTTGCACATATTTATCATATTTTTCAGAAGGAAATTATTATGCACCTTTTAGTTCATGCCAGAGTATAGAAACTTCAGTAGAATCAACTTTCTATAAATTCATCTTCATTATTCTAATTTCCGTCCGTGTACCATTCTAAGATGACCATGTATTCTTCACTGCATCACTTAGAATAAATGGAAAATGTCTTAGAAGAGATGAGCAGGTTTAACCTTGACCCTTCGAAGAAAATATTCTTAATAACTTACAAGGCTTACATGCAAAGTGGGCACAAAAATAAAGTAGCACATATACTAGGCATGATGTACAAGCATGGCTTTGAAATTCCATTGGATGTCATTCCTTCACATTTCAAAGCAGTGGAGTAAAGTATAGTCAGAAAACCATTAATGAAATCTCTTTTAAATGAAAATTTTGCATTGGTGTTTGGATTTCTCTTTATGTAATGTTTGTGGTGAATTCTCTTTACCTGATTGTAATCTTTTTTCTTTTTAATTAATTTTTCGATCTGTTTATTGATACACCTCTATATCATTATCAGAAAGATGTTGATGTAGGCCCAAACATGATAATCATCGACACTAGAAGGCAAAAGATTTTATGGCAGTGTGTAAGAGGATCTGTACTTTGGGAACTGGGGAGAGGAATGCAAGAACTTTTGAAGAAAATTACATGACAACTGAGGAGGTGTGCGAGCTTCTAATGATAAGGGTAGCTCACTGTACATCAGTTTGTGATGTTCAGAGGTGTTCTGTGAATGGCTTATTAAGAGAATGGCAGGTAGTTGGTGGCTTTCAAAGCACAAGACTACCAAGGCTAGTTGAGTGGTCCCCACCAACAGCTGGAAGGATTAAATTTAACTTTGATGGCTGTTGTTTGGGAAATCCAGGGGAATCAGGAGTCAGGGGTGTAGTGAGAGATGAAACTGTTAATATTCTTCTTAGTTTCTTGGGTCCAATTGGACATGGAATCTCTCTCGGGGATGAACTGTTTCCAGCCATTTAAAGGTTAAAATTGCTAAGAGTAAAGGGGTGAGAGTAGTGGACGTTGAAGGAGATTACCAAACAGCTATCTCTTGACTGAAGAATAGAGAAGAAATTCCATGGAGGATGAGGCCTTTAGCAAGACAAGCACTCTCCCTAGGGGGATCCCTTGAGCACCTCATTCAACTGGATACCTAGAAGTGCCAATTTGATGGCTGACACATTGGCTAGGGTGGGAGTGTCAAAGGATCATCTAGAATGGTCTTGTCCATGGCCGGGCTGTAATTTGTAACTTGTTAGTCTTTCTTTTTGTTTAGATTCAACTTTGTACTTGACCTCTTATTCCTTTGGGGCCTGTTGGATGTATTCTGGGATTTTTCAGTTCCTTAAGAAAGGAATTTTACTAATAATAAAAAATAAACTAGTCATGGGTCTATACGGTTTGATATGGCCTCAACAGATACTACTGTTCCTCAAATCCCCTCTTAAACTTCTTTTACTTTAATGGAATCACTTTTTTAATATACAACTCATCACAATAAATGCTTGTATTTCATGAGTGTCTTCACTGGAATCTTATCCCTACACTTTGGGATGGTTTGATCAAATCCTGTTTGGTTGTCCCATTTTGTCTAGACTTGCATCTTCTCAAATGTTGTCAAGTTATTTTCTGCTACATGGATTCACATCCTCTAGTGTCATCATTTTAATTCTGGAGAATTCCCTCAAAACAATGCCAGGGTCCATGTCAAAGAATTTGTAGAAGTTTCTGTAAGCATAAGTTGTCTACCAAGTTGGAGTTACTCTAACTCTTCCTGTATCTGATTGAGTGCAGCACATTGTTGGAGTTGCTTATTACCCATGCCTTTTTTTCCCTTTTCTTGAGAAGCCATGTTAACCAAGGCTCTGTACATGGGGATATACAAAACATGCATCAAAATTGTTGCTTGTTACCCATACTTAATGGTGTCTTTTACACTGTTATTTTTATGTTTTTGAGTGTCAGAAATGGCACTTACTGGTATTGGTATGCAAAGGTTATTTTTCTATTCATATTTACCAGAGAGGGGGACGAGAGTCAGAAATTATGAACTTAAATACACAAGTTTGTTGGCAAAAAAAAATACACAAGTTTGTTTAGGGAGAAAGGTTGATGCAGGCAAGGGGCTAGAAAGGCCAGGGGTAGACCAAAAAGGAGATGGGTTAAGGTAATTAGAAATGATTTAAGTGCCCATAATTTAACAGTGCATATGGCATTAAACAGAATAGAATGGAAAAACAGGATTCATGTTGCCAACCCTATATAGTTGGGATAAGGTTTGGATGATGATGATGATGATGGTTGATGCAGGCACAGTCCGGAGAATCCAAAGCTTAGTTTTACTAGGCAAGCCTTACCATCTCTTTTTGGGCCAGTCCCATCACTTAAGGCCAATGGGCTCTTTAGAGACCCATAGTTGAGTTGAGATCAATATTATAAGCCCAAATCAGAAGAATATTCCAGAAGATTCTTAGGGATATATTTGTGCTTTTCTAATTTATTTGTTATTTTCTTGTCTTATTAGGTTGCTTGAATAGCAAGCTAGGATTAGGGCCTTGGGATTTCTATAAATAGTTATGTTCTTTTTGTTTTGAAGTCAGTGAATCAATGAATAAGACGTGAAGTTTAGTTGTCTGCAACTCTTATCATGTTTGGGGGTAAATTCCTCCCTTTGGCAGCAGCAACACCATTAGCCCTTCTCTCTTTCTCTCTCTCTCTCTCTCTCTCCCCAAATATCTGTGAAACCATCATTATAGAAACTGTCACTCTGAAGTCTAATCTACAGGAAATACACTTCTCTCCTCGGGATTTCTAGGGTTTTGTGCCTGCCACAAAGGTCAAAGGTCCTATGTAAAGAAAGAAATACCTGAAACTCGTTCTTTGTGAATATCCATTCATGTAAGAAACAGATTTCCTGGTAATTAATGCACTTAAAGCTTGCTTGCAATCTGATTAGAGGTAACTACAACAAGAGTAAGAACTGTCTTGCAGATAGAAATACTAGAAACAGTTATTTCATGTCTAGTGCATTTTCAACATTTAAGTCAATCATGAAGGTAAAAATTAAGATTATGGTAATAGACACTAGCAAAGATCCATTTGCATGGTCAAGCTATGTTAGGGATAATCAACATGTAGAGGATGTTGAATCTTATAGACTGTTCTAAAGTTAAAGACTTATCCAAGCCTTGTGCTTAGACTCAGAAATATCAATTAGTTAACTAGCATTTTGATACATGCGCTGCTTAGGACACATTAAAAAGTTTTGGAGGATATGTGGACCCATAAGTCCATATCCTAGCCAGCCCAAGTATATGTGGAAAAGAGATTATATCCTATGAGATGATCATCTAGTTTTTATAGTATGCAAAATCCCAGTAATTAGAGAAGGTAAAATTCAAAACTTCTAATCAACCCTAATTCTGGAATTGCATAACATGAGAGAACAGTTTTCTCTCTTGAATCGCTTGGATCTATTGGACCATTGCAAGATCAAATCTTTAGATGAAAGAAATACCCAATCTTTGATGTCCACAAGTGCAAAGATCGAAGTGGTAGTCCACACCCAAGCTTTGATGCTCCCAAGAAAGACTACAATGAGTTGAAGATGGTGCAACTTTGATATTTGTAGCTTCAATTGATCTCCAAGAATTCCGGCAAGAAAGATGAGATGCTTACCACGATTTGGGTGGTCTTTCTCACTCAAAATGGTTCTGGAATCACTCTCTAATGAATGTTCACAAGATCTGGTCGAATGGGGTTCAAAACCCTAGATATGTCTCTCACAATAGATGGTTGGGTTCAGCTATGTCGGGAGAAAGAATGCATGGTTCGATCTCCCCACATTGATCCTTTTAAGACAAGGGAAGGGCTAAAAGAGTCCTCTCCTAATCCAAATCAGTTTCCTAAAATAATTAGGATAATCTTGGAGAGAATCTTGCTCTTCTAATTCAGCCCAAATACTAGGCCTTTCTAGTTAAGTATCCTAGTCAAATTTTGTAACGAACTTTGACTTTCTTGTTGGTAGTTTAACTAGGTCTCTTTAGAAAGACTTCTAACCAACTTATAGTATCCATTAAATCTTGAAAATCCATTTAATAATGGGAAACACCGGTTTGTATGGTGTGGGACCTACTACTAATGAGTGAACCAACTCTTAACTCTACTTACTTAACACTTAAGCTAGTGGAGCCCGCTACTTAAATCAATTAGTCCATGTGGCCAATTCACCCATTTCTATTATGGGCTTTAGTGAATCAGCCCAATAAATGTCTAAACACTTATATACACTTGGGACCTTACCATCCTAAAGGCCTAAGTCTGCATGTCTAATTGGTTCAGCCCCTGTAATTATCAGGTTAAATTAGCCCAACAAATCACTTGCAATTAATTTCTCTACTAGTAACACTCAACACTACATGTGAGGAAGGACTTTTCCCTCTCGGTCTTTATGACATGGTGTCCAACCTCCACCTCTAACGGATCCTCATGGGAAGCTGTACAGAGCATTCTCTATGTCTTAGTAGCAAATCACATTGATCATTAGTTGACATGCCATTCTTGAATACCCCAACATACCCTGGTATTTGACCTAAAAAGGATCTCATTGGTTGGCATATCAAAGATAAACACTTGGTACTCAGCCTAATACTAATATCAAGTCTAGGGATTAAATGCAACACCCAGTTGTTCCACTTATCACAAAGTCCAGGAACACACTGGGTTTGGTCTAGTTCAATGTTTCTTGCAAACACACATTTTCACACCTTAAGTCACAAATCCAAGTAGCTGAGACCCACTGCTCCACTACTTGGTAAGTGTGAGAATGACAACCTTCTTAGGATAAACTCCCCAGGTTCATCCACTAGTTGTGAACATTTAAGTCCATATTTTTTTATTAGAAAAAGAGGATTTTTATAAATTTAATAATTTAGTAACAGATTACAAGTGCTTTCTAGAATATAACAATATCGAAAGGTCCCATAATACAAGGATCATCAGCCCTCTCTTGTTTCTTGCAATTTCTGTGTGTTAGAGATGGGTTCTGTGTTCATTAGCATTTTACATTTGTTTGATGATTTCCTATTGTTTTGGGAGTATTGATAATCTGAGGGTAGGCTTCTTCATGATGACTTCTGAACATTGTATGAAATGGCTGTTGATTGGGGAGTTCTAGTGCAGGATTTCCATGAGGTTGTGGCTAATGAAATGGTCTGGGATCCTTGATTTTTGAATCATGTTAACAGTTGGTAGGATGACATGCATATGGATCTTCTAGCAAGGTTCCAAATGTCCAACATTGTTCCAAATAGAGATGATAGAAGGATCTAAGACCCAGACCCAGATGTCTTATTTTGAGTTTTCTCCTTTTACCTGACCTTAATTTGGTGTAAAACATACCCTTGAAAATATGTTCCTTCATGTAGAAATCTCTTTTGTTTTTGTTAAGGCAAAGAGAGCACAACCCTAAAGAAAAATAAATAGAACAATAACACAAGACTAGGAGCCTTAAGAGAAAAATAAATAGAACTATAACACAAGAACAGGACTTGTGTGCTTTGGCATGATGCTCGTGTTCATGGGCAAAGACAACCCAAAAAATCCACTAGTAAAGGTATCCATTGCCATCCCTTTTGTTCTGCATAATATCTATCAAATTATGTATTTCTGTCAATTGGGGCTTGGTATTGTAAGGGAGTTCAATGTCTGAATGTGTTGTGTGGGATTTTTTTCTTCTACTGCTATTATTTTTATTTGCTTCTTTCTGTCAGGTTGAGAGCTTTGTAGAGGCAAGCTAAAAGTTTGTATAAAGGGGTTTTTTTTCACCTTCTTATGCTATATTTGACAATATTTCTATTTTATGCAAGATTTTGTTCATCCTAGACTATGTGGGTCTTTCTTCTTTATTATTTGCTATTATATTCTAACTACCATGGCCATTCTGGTACAGTTCAGCCCTTAATGAGCTCCTACTAGGAAATTTCTACTCTGTGTTTAGTGTGGTATAAGACTCCACAGCTCATTCACCTGCTTCTAAGCATATAGGGAATAAACCCAAAGGGGGAGGGGTGCTCTGTAACAATTTATATGAAGGTTCCAAATGGATGGTTAAATATGGGTAACCATATCCACCAGGGATACAACTGATGTATGATTTTTAATGTAGTACCTTTTAATTTCATTAATAAAAGTAGAAGTGTTAATCATTAAAAATGAACCAATTTGCAGATACATTGGCAAAGCAGGGGGTGGGAAGGGAGCAAATGTTTTGGGCTATTTTTTAATTTCTTTCTTGGTCTCTTGGGAAGAGTTAAGTCATTTTACCTCTTCCCGGAGTGCTGTATGTAATCCTGTCTTTTATTTAATAATATGAGTTTCTGTTATTGATCAAAAAATTAAAAAAAACCAAGGAACTTAATAGATTTTTTCTTTATTTTTTTTAACTTTAAAAAAAATGAAGGGTGGCTATTAATTTTCAACATGTAAGATGTAAATTAGTATAACCAAGGAAAACTTTTCATGGAAATGCTGCATTGTTTATCTCGCTTGAACATTTTGTAAAGAGACTGGGCCGAATGGGTCCTAGTATCTTCTCTTGTAATATATTTTCTTTTTCTTGTTAGCTAATGGGCCTCTCTTAATGGACCTGTTATTTCTTTTTGTTTGATCTCTTTATGTTACTACCTAGCTGGCCGCCCATTTAAGGACATACTTGTAATTACCTTAACATTAATTCTTAATGTACTGCTGCTCTTACTTTTCTTGTACTCCTCTTTCCGCCATCTTCTTCTCTTGTACTGCTGCTCTTACTTTTCTTCATTTTTCTCTCCAATTTTCAAATTTACACCTAATTTTTGAGGACTGATTTACATCTCATTTTTTCCATAGATTGCTTTTACTTAGATTGTTTCTAGTTGTTAATATATAGATCTTATCACTAGAGTTAGTATCTGTATGAGCGCAAGGCAAAAAAATTGTTCTACCCATATCACTGGATGTGGTATTGAAGTAATCGTTCTCTTTTCAGGCACAGAGTTTGTCAAATTACCATGCCAGCATTTCTTCTGCCGGAAATGCATGAAGACTTATTTGAACATGCATGTAAAGGAAGGCACCATAAACAAGTTGCTCTGCCTTGATGCAAAATGTGGAGGTCCAGTCCCACCTGGACTGTTGAAACTGCTGCTTGGGGATGAAGAGTTTGACCGTTGGGAGTCCTTACTGTTACAGAAAACACTTGACTCGATGTCTGATATAACCTATTGCCCAAGATGTGAAACAGCCTGCTTAGAAGATGATGACCAGCATGCTCAGTGCCCCAAGTGCTTTTTTAGCTTCTGTAGTCTTTGCAGAGAGCGGCGTCATGTAGGAATAGCATGTATGACACCAGAAATGAAGTTTCGAATTTTGCAGGTAACAACTTAAGACATATTGTTGTATCATTGAAAGATGGCCTATTTTGACCCTCTTCCTAGCTAAATATAGAAAACCACTGTGCTAAATTGTTTGTCTGATTCCAACACTGTACAGACATGTTATTTCTTCCTGCTATCCTTTTCTTTTATCCCTGCCTTCTATTTCTGTTGTTTTTGTAGTCTATCTTGTGACATTCATGTTGAATCATATACTTGGGGTTGGATACAAGGTGCCACTCTCACCATCTGGATGGGGTTGTTGTGGTTCAATTGACATTGAAACTATTGTTGGAAAGCCAGTAGCATGGTTGTTGTTTTAGGTTCCATGATGTTGGAACCCATGTTCATGATTCAGTGCTTTTTCAAGGCCCAGGTTTTTTTTCTCTTTTGTTACTGTTGGTGGTCATGATTATAGAATGAAAATATCTCATAGTACTTCATGTTGTATTATTCTTCGTCACCTGTTTTTAACAAATCTCTATGCATGGAAATATGACTCTAATGAGGGAAACTTATCCTCCTTGACTGTTCAGATTAATGGATGACAAGAGAGTTAAGTTTTATCACCAGAAGCTTAGCATTTTTTTTTTGTCATGGTGTTTTTGTAGTGATAGTTTTTTGTTTTGGCTATTTATTTGTTCATTTGTTTGGTTGGTTGATCAGCTGGAGGTTGGGGTATTTACAACTATCTATATCCTCTCGTGTATACAATATCTTTTTCTATTATCATTCAAACTTATCCTTTTTAAAAGAATTTCTCCAATTTGTATGAATTAGGTTTTACCCATTGTTCATCAGTCTATGTTTCTTTGAATTTTGAAGAAGTAAATGCCATTCGAACATGGGAAAGAAGTAAACCGTGTTTTCTACTCATGGTGATGGTACCAAAAAAGAAAGAGAAAAGGGGGTCCCAAGATAATGCAATCAATTATTGATCTTCTTGGTTGGACAAAGCTGGAGTGGCAAGGAAATCATTTTATCCATCATACCAATCATTTTCTCAATGACATCTGTTCAGGATAATATCTCATTATCAAAAGTTTCTCTTAGCATGGGCAGACCCAAGGGGGCATGGGGCATCCCCCCACACCCTTTTCAAACCAACCAAAGAAAAGTTAATTAAGCGTACAATCATGTAGGGGTGTCAAAGGTATTCAAAAATCCGATTTCGAATTCGAGATTCGACATAATCAAATCGAATTCGGATAATTCAAATATCTAACTGGTCAAATTCGGATGTCCTATTCATACGAATAGCTAATCGGATTCAAATTCGGATATGACCTGATTCAATTCGATAAATATCCAAATTTGACCGATTATTTAATTCTTATATATAATATATAAAACTTTTAAATGTTTTATATAATATATATAATAATTAAATTATATAAATAATTGATATATTTATATACTTTATATAAATAAAATTTTTATTTTATATATTTATTAATTACCTAAAATAATTAGTTAGTTGAATTTGAATCGAATCAAATATTCGAATATTTAATCGGATTCGAATTCAAATGTTAATTTTCAATATCTGTCGGATATCAAATCGGATTCGGATTTCGAATTTTTTAATCAGATTCGAATTCGGATATTACCTGATCCAATTCGAATTCAATCCGTTTACACCCCTACATGCATGTTATAGAGTTCCCCAGTCATTCACAGTGACCTCTTGTATACATGAATCCTATATGGGGTTGGCTACATGAATCCTATATATTCATGTATTCTATTTATTTATTTATTTTATCAGTGAACGGAGTAATTTCATTAGGTATGAAGAAATAAGTTACATCACAGATTTAAGAACAGATAAGAAACAAGACCACTTATCCAAGGAAACAAATTAACCCAAATCTGCCCAAAAAAATTGATCCCTGTGCACCCCTTGTTTTGCAAAGTATCTGCAAATCCATTTGCTGTTTATCTTAACCCAGTTGAAGCTTGCCTCAAGGTCCTTTGCTAAACTTTTGATCTCTCTGGTTAGATGTCTGAACTTCCACACACCCAGGCTGCTGTCATCCATCCAAGAATTTACTAATTTAGAGTCACCTTCTATTATGCTTAATATCCATTGTTAAATTATTTATGCTTAAATCATTTCTTACTACTCTGACCTATATCCTTTTTGGTCTACCCCTACCCTTTCTACCTGTTCAGCTTGCAACAGATTACTTCTTATACATGCATAAGTACATATTTAAATATACGTTTGCATCTGTGCTATGCTATTACACATTTTTATATCATTATATACATTCCAGATCTCCTACCCACAAACTTTTATCACATCCCTACTCACAAAACACTACCACCATGTATTGGGAACATCTCCCCATGAATGACAAGGGAGATATTCCCAATGCGCACCTGTAGTGTCCTGTGGATGGAGATGTGGGAAGAGTTTGTAGGCAGGAGACCCGAGCTCCATTATATATGTATATTGTGTTCAGGATGGCACTTAAAGTGGCTTGGGCAGGACACATAGTCATGCTCTGGCTATTTGGACCTCATAACTCAAAATGTTGGTGGACCCCATCTAAGGCATACCTACAGAAGGCAGCATGTTTAACAATTTGATTGGAATGGTTATAGCAGATTCATAAGTTGCTAGAACTCTTCTATCACCTAAACATGCACAAGATAGAGTCATATCAAGCTAAGTTTTTGGCCTAATGAATCCCCAATGTGGAACTTTTTTGGATCATAATCACATAAACTTCATACACGTTCACATTAGAGGGCTATGCCATTTTGTTCATGTTGTAATTCCATCTCTTCGACTAATATCATATTATTATGTATATTTGCACATAACTCGTGGATTGGCCTGGTGGATGAAATTTTTACCACAGATGTTAAAAAATTTAAGGTCAAGAAAACATCTTTATTCATAGAACTCAGTGCCATATTGAAAAGCAAAACTAAACTACTCTATTGGTCATTTCCCCCCCCCCCCCCATTTCAATTAGACTTTGAAATTTCAAGAATTCACTTCATTGGAACGTCCAATAAAACCAATGTCTATGATGCTTTTGACAAATAATATAGATTCACCACATTGCCAAAGCTTAGGTCCATATCCACTCTACCCTGCCCAACACCCTGGAAAAGCTGGGATATTATGAGGTATCTTTTACAGTTTTTCTTTTTCTTTTCTTTTTTTTTTCTGGTTTAAAACTGCCATGCATGCTCATAGATGTTCCTTCCTTCAACTGTTAGAGAAGTTTCAACATAATAGCCCTGCCACAGGCAGAAAGGAAGCCTTAATTTTTCAGTATAAGTTTCATTTATATTTATGTTGATCCCCCAAGAAAAGTCTTCTGGTTGTCACTTAGGATCATCAAATTCCTCTGTCTCTCTGGTATAGCTGTTTGGCCTGAAAAGCTGCTCTTATTGCCATCTAGAGAGAGTGTTGTGCACAAGATGAACCATCCTTGTCATTTGATAAATTAGTTTTTTGAGACTTTACAGTAATGCTTGCAGGAGCGACAGAATTCATCTCAGATCAAGGATGAACAAAGGCGCAGGGAACGTGAAATGATTAATGAGATTCTTAGTGTGAAGGAAATACTTCATGATGCAAAGCAATGTCCATCTTGCAAGATGGCAATCTCTCGAACTGAAGGTTGCAACAAGATGGTATGCCAGAACTGTGGACAGTTCTTTTGTTACCGTTGTAACAAGGCAATTGATGGATATGATCACTTCAGGTTGCAGCTTAATTCTCAAGTTTAAAATTAATTTATTATGATCAATTTATTTGTGCATGTGTTCTTACTTAAAAGTTACCAAACTAATAGTATTTTTCTAATGAAGAGATGGAACTTGTGAACTTTTCCCACGTGAAATGATCCAAATCTGGGTGGAACAGATGAATGAACGTCGGTTGTTAGGTCAGGTACAAGCCAAGCTCTTTGCAGATCGCCGTCACTCATGCCCTAATTGTGGTCAAATGAATGCAAAGGTCAGTTGAAATCAATTATAGTTATCCTCATCTATTCAGTCTTGAACTTAGACCCGATGCTGTTAATGTTAAAGAATCTTAGTTTTGGGTTGTAACACTGGCAGCTTCTAAACTGTCAAACACTATGCAACTTATCTGAGCACAGCAAGAGTCAGCTAAGTTATTCTTTGTGTTTGACAAAACCAGTTGTCTTCTACATCTCCTATCTTTTCGTTTTTCTAAACAGAAAAGGGGGAAAAAAGGAAAAATATCATGAATACATATTTTCAACTGTAATGCATGGGAAACATTAATTGACACAAATTTGACTCCCTCATCTCAAAAGTAGTATCCATCTAGCATTACAATGCTATTTGTGAGTAAAAGCTATGATACCTGAATCCTTCATTTTACACCAAGGCTCCATTTGTTTTGAAGTAAAATAATTGAAACTGGTCAAATTTTGCCCTCTTCAGTGTTTTGACATGTGGTTAATTGTTTGTTTTACGTGGTCAGTAGGTAAATTCCACTCATTTTACCAGCCAATTTACTCAGTTTAGGAAGTAAAATTTTACTTACAAACTGAGAAAATATTGTATTCACTTTGAGAAGAAAACTTTCATATGTTTATACCAATAAAATTCTGAAGCTGACAATCTAAAAGGGAAGAAAACTTTCATTTGGTTTAGAACAGGTGGGGCCCACAAAGACATAAAAAGTGAATAAAATTTGAACCAATTCTGAACCATTATTTTACTCAGTTGGATTTTACATAGGTAAAATCAGATTTTACTTACACAACAAGTTGAGTGCAAAGTACCATGTCTGCTATTGTCTAGGGATACATGGGAACGGGTTCTGTTGGATCCACCATACTTATATCGTGCTCGCTCGATGAGGCTTTGGTAAATTGTATATAATGACCATTTATTTTGACAGATAAGCAACATAAATCATTTATTCTTGTATTTTTAAAAGGCACTTTCATCTTGAAGTTTTTTTTTTTTATCAATAACTGTTAAATACATTCAAATTAGATGTAATAGTACAAAAGAAAGTCAGTGAGAGACAAACCCTCTTATCTCTCCCCTTTAAATTTTAATCAAAAGTTACATCTGTGCCCGAAATAGTTGAATTCTCCCAACCCCTTGTTTGGCTAATGCATCAGCCATCGAATTAGCAGTTCTTTTTACCCAAAGTATTCGCAGTTCTATGTCCTTTGTGATCCATTTGAATTTTTTTCTTCTCATTGTTGTATTTCCACATCCTGCTTTCCTCATCAAGTAGCCAAGCCACTACCAAACTTTCATCTTGAAGTTGAAACTCGAATGTATTAAATGCTCCACTTTGGTCCTTATTCCCTGTAGACTTGAGTAGATTATTTGATTTGTTATGTTCCAGGTGCAGTTTGTTCATTGTTGCATGTTCCCATTATGAGTATAATAATGAAATACAGCTAAATTGTTAAAGATAATTTGCTGCTTACTGGAAAATTATATCTTGCATTTCAATGTACAATTTTTGCATAAATCTATACCCAGGTGGGGTACCTATCTTAGCCAAATTCCCATAACCCTATCCTTCAGGGTAAGATGGATCAGACTCCTATAAAATACATTCTAATTCATTCAGTTAAATCTGGAATTTTATTATCAATAATGCTGATATCAAAACTATCTACTTCTTAGAGGCATGGTGGCAAATCATCTAATCCATTTATCAATCATCATTCTGTAGATTGTCATCCCTCTGTCATAAATATGTACTATATAATACATAAGGAAAGCACAAAAATGATCATGGTTACTGCCATCAAACATTACAGATGAACTTAAAACATTTGGGCAGCCCCATGAGACTTATTTCTCTTGGGAAATGATTCATGTACTTGCTAACCTCCCAAAACCTTGCCATTTTATGTGGTTGTGTCTGTTGTCTGTTTTATCATCTTTTGTAGTGACTTTGCAGCACTTAAGTTTCTACTGTCATAAGATATCTCTTTTATTGTGCTATTTTATCCACTTTTCTGGACTAAATTAAAGTCAAGTAAGCATGTATTTATCCTTGTTTTTCGTTTAGGTCGTAAAAAGATAACCTTCATTAGATGAAAAAGGAAGAATTACAATCAACAGAGTGAAGACAATCCACCAAAAAAAAAAATACACACATTGAGCCTCACTACTTTAGCCCAAGGTAGATCATAAATTAGACCCAAATGCTTCTCTATTAGCATCATTCAATTCTACCACAACCAAACAGCAAATTTCAGCACTTACTTTTCCTCAGTCTGAACCTTATCCTGAAAAAATATGCATTTCTTTTATCTCCAAATGCCCCAATAGACTGCAAACAGAATGATGCTCCAAAGGATTTCAGCATTTTAGTTTCCATAATGTTAGGGTAAGTAGAGAAGATATTTCCTGGTAACAAAAGAACGGATTTTTGAATACTAAACATTGAAAAAAATAAAACCCATATGAACTTTGATGGAAGCAGTGCGGGTAATCTAGGTCCCTCTGGAATTGGAGGGGTGTTTAGAGATAGTGAAGGTAGAATCATTGGCCTATTTTCAGACCCAATAGGAGTAGGGGACTCTTTAAGTGCTGAGGTTATAGTTGTCATGGAGGGACTGCAAAAGGAAAAAGGCATGAATCTAAGAAAGCTAGTTATAGAAAGTGATTCAAAGTTGGTAGTGGAGTGACTGCAAAAGGAAGAAAAAGGATCTTGGGTCTTTAATAATGAAAAGAAGAGATTCAAGTGGTTGACACAAAATATGGATGTGAAATTCAGTTGGGTTAAAAGAACTATAAATGGGTTTGCTGATGTATTAAAACAAGGGGTAGGAAGGAATCATTTATTTTGGGTTCAATTGTAATAGCAAAATTCTTCTGTGGAGAGTTAAGATAGTTTATCTCTCCATTTCTTGTATTGTTTTATATCTAATGGAATCCTGTTATTGATAAAAAATGAAGAATTGTTTAACATCTTCCTCTTGCTCTTTGCACATAAAACTAACACTTGGCAACTGAAAACCCTTTGATTTTAGATGATTAAATGTTAGATTGATATCCAGAGCTAATAACCATGTAGATACTTTGAGAAGGCATGCTTAAACATAGAATCATTGCCCCAGTGTTGTGACACCATCTCCATAGCTGAGAGGTCTCAATTCAAGCTAAGACAGGGCATTCTTCGTTTCTTGAGTATTGAAGTTGCCTATTCTTGTGGGGCATGTAGATTCTAGTCTAGCTTTTTCCCTAAGTGGGTCCCACTAGACAATCTCCCTGTACCTTAAGTACCCTCTCCTAAAATGTAATAGGTTGCACAGAGATCTCAAAAGCTGCCATAAAAGAACATAGAATCATTAATATGCCTAAACTGTTTGGGCAACATGTATTTGGGTTTGATGATATAATGCATTTGAATCTGTTGTTCTCACTACAATTTGTGTTTAATGGTCTCACTTGGTTCTGATTAGTATTGGTTCAATGGACCTGTCATTGCTTGCATTAATGGATTATCATGATAAACACACTGTGTTTATATAACTGAGTGATAAGAGTTCTCTTTTCTGTTCTTATTATTTTTAAACACAGGTAGGAAACAACAACCACATCTTTTGTTGGTCCTGTCAAAACCACTACTGCTACTTGTGTCGGAAGATTGTCCGGCGCAGCTCTCAGCATTATGGGCCCAGAGGTTGCAAGCAACATTCAGTGGGATGACTCAAAGGAGCTGCACCCAACTGTGTGGAGGAATGATTTTCAGCCATATGGTCCCAGTAACATTGGCATCAGCAGACGGTTAATTATATATCAAGAAAAAATCAGTCATCTCATCAGATAACGGATGGCAAATTCTGGTAATGTTGTCTTGTCATGCTTTTTCTCTTTTGCTCCTCCCTGTCAAATTGTTTGTTTGTGGTGGAAAATGAGCTACCCATAAATGAGATGTTTTCTCCTGCTGAGGTTTTGTATCGAAATTAAGTTGAAAATGCTTTGTGTGGAAATTAAGATGATGATGAAGACTTATCCGAAAGTTTATTGATTTGTTTGCTTGGAAGGGTTCTTATTTATTTATAATTATTTTCTTTGTTTGTATGCTACAATTAGTGGAGTCTTTTCATTTAAGTTTTGTGTAGCATGTGAATTTACAGCATAGAGAAATGTATTAATGTCAAGTTGTTAGGAAAAACTGTGATGACTTTATTTGCAAGAGAAGTTGAAATTATTATTATTTCAATCTTTTATTAACAACAGGTTGTGTGATGCAGATAGAGCATACCCTTTTTACTCGCAGGTCCAAGTCCAACACCATAGGATCTCATATTGGTCTAAAGCCTAAAGCAATAGAAAAAAAAAACCAAAAATTACGACTTCAGAACAAAATTCATTGTTCTGTGGCCCATGTCCTGTGGCTCAGCTCATAACGACATACCCCATGGTCTAAATGTAAACTCATTCCACCAGACGTCATTAAAGAGCATAGAAGAGAAATTTTCTAGAATATATGCTGAGGAGATAATCTTTTATAGTCTTTTGTACAAACTTATACTGAAGAACCTTGCTTTGTAAGATGAGGTTACTTTCATTTATTGTTGTCTAAGATTAGTTGTGTACACTTTATGCTTAATTAATCAAAGAAATTCTATTTAATCTATAAAAAGCTTGTTGCTTGAGAGGAGAGATTTCTCTCACATATGGTGTGCTTATATGGTGGTAGCAAGACTCTTATATGTCTTACCTTCACTTCTTTTTCTTGTTCTGTCTCTTCTTTCTTATTCTATTTGTTTCTTTCCCTTTTCTGACAAACATTCCCATTAAAATTTCTTGGAGTTCCTGCAGCTCGTGAGATATATTGTCTTTGTTCTGTCATATATGTTGGTTGGCATTTATACAATGTATTATTAAAGTGGTGCAAGGCTTTTCTGGGTTTAGCAAAGGTCATGGTGACTAAAATTATAGATCTAAACATAAAAGGCTAATGTGATGTTTTCAGTTTTCAAAACCGGGCCAGTTTTGGACCAGAAAAATCAGGAGCCAGTCACCTGATTGGTTCCGTTTCACCCCAAAACCGCTTTTTGGCAAAAAAGCGTTGATTTGGTCAGCAAACCACTGACTCGAGTGGTTGAACCGTTGAACTGGACAGTGGTTTTTGGCTGTTCGTTTTTTTTTTTCAATTTTTTGTCAGAACGGGCATCCATTCAGACCGAACAGTCAGACTGTCCGACTCGGAAACCAGTCCCCAGAATGGTTCCCTGTCCAGTCCGGTTTTAAAAACTCTGTGCCAAACGGTGACAATACTCTGTCAGCAATGATTCAAGTGTTCTTCCGATAGTGGTTCAATCGTCTCAAGACCAATGTCAATGTCAAGGATCTTAGTCCTGCGTGGGTGAAAATAGAACAACCTTATGGTATCAGAAAAATTGCAAAATTAGTTTTATTGATAATGGATGAGATGGTCATAAATCCTATCCAAAAATGAATCTTCTACTGGTTTCTTCTTCACTTCATTTAATATCTTCTATGCAAGCATAGGTACATTTGTATATACCTACATAGTTAGGTCCGTATGAAATCATACTTGAGTTAATGGGACAATATTCCTAGTCTTTGGAATTTAAAATTCATGCACTACAATCATTAAGTCTCTCTCTCTCTCTCTCTCTCTCTCTCTCTCTCATAGATGACATTTTTTACATAAGCTTGACCATCTTTCTCACATTTAATACTCTAATTCCTTAAAAAATTACTAGGATAAAAAACAAAACAAAAATTGTAAGAGGTCTCGGAAACCTTGTGTCGATTGTGATGTTCCCTTGTTCTTGGTCTCATGCACACAATGCTCCACTCAAATCATTTGCACTTTCATATGTTTGCACCAGTGTAAATGAAACTGCATTGCAAACAGGAAAAGAAATGAAAAAGAAAATAAAGAGTCAAAAGCTCAACCTGTTTTCACATTATAGGGGGATTAAGGGTTGGAGACACAACCTGAGACCCACTGACCTTACCACAGAAAACCTCCGTTATACAGGTTTGATCCTGCACCTCCATGTTTGAGGAATTCCAAGTGACCATCTCAGCTACTGTGTTATAAGACTTCATTTGTCAGATTGTGTTGCAGGAGCTCCCCCTTCCATATTCTTGAGGCCTGCTCCATGACCATGAGCCTCGCCTAAACCCTCCTTAGCCACATCATATGATGCATGCAGCCCAACAAGCAAGTAATAGATAATCAAGATCAGTATCCAAACTACAAACCTCACAAAAGATGGCACATCAAGTGAACCCAACAAAAACATATTAACAGCAATAGTGGCTGATGGCAACCATGGAAACAACGGCACCCCATAGCTTAGGCTTCCTTGCCTCCTTAACCTTCACCTTCAGTCCTAAAGTTGCCAGAAACCAAATTGGCACTGTGATCATATAACCAATCCATCCCTTATCACTAACTGCCCAATATACTGCTGTTGCAATAGATGAAACCAGTATCAATGTCAGGAACCCAACAAACATATTCCGGTCATGGTTCGACGTCGCACCAGCAATGTAGTACCGCCTCACAAGAAGGGCGACGGCGACGAGCGAAAAGATGAAAAGGGTAGAGATAGAGAGGAGGCTTGAGAGGACACTGAGATCAGTGAAGAAGCCTACAATGGAGTTGGCAATTGTCATGACAATTGTTGCATTCATTGGCGTCTTGAACTTCTTGTTGATGATGGCTAGCCATGGCGGGGCCATGTGAGTCCGCCCAATGTGAGTGAAATACCTGGCTTGACCAATGATGTTGGTTAGCAAGACTGCAGCCATACCCTTCAATGCTCCTAAAGCAACCATGTACTTGACCCAGCGCATGCCTACGGCCTGGAAAGCTTCAGAGTATGGCGCATCAACATCTATTGCAGTGAATGGCAGCATGAGGCACAGAGTGGCCCCAAGGAGGCAGTAAAGCACTATGGTGATCGACATGGAGACGACGAGGCCGATGGGGATGTCTCGGGCTGGTTTCTTTGTCTCCTCGCCCAATGTTGCTACTCCATCGAAGCCAACGTAGGCAAAGAAGAGCACAGCTGAGGCTTTGAACACGCCCTTCACCCCATATGGAGCAAAGTTCCTGAAATTGGCGACGTTGGCCTTGGTAAGACCAAAGCAAACAATGAGGAGAAGAACAGTAATGTGGATTACAGATGCGACTACATTGAAGACAGAGGAGCCCTTTTGTGCTGACAGAAGCCAAAACACCAATAATGGACGAGACGGCCACCGAAATGGGGTCTAGATGATTGTAGTTCTTGTTGAGACCAGAGACCACTATGCGGAAGTCATCGGGCTCATGGTTACAAAGGGTGGCCAAGTATGACGTCCATGACCGCGCCACCGCAGCACCGGCCACGATGTACTCGAATAGGATGTTTCCGGCGGCAATGTAGGCTGCAAAATCACCAAGCTCCACCCTTAGATAGGCGAATGATCCTCCTGCCACCGGGATCTCGACAGAAAACTCGGTGTAACAGAACACGGAGAGCAGAGCAGAGATGCCAGACACGATGAAGGAGACTGTAACAGCAGGGCCAGCGTCCTTCCTTGCCTCGAGACCTGTCAATACGAATACCCCTGCACCCATTACAGAACTCAAACCGAACCAAATTAGATCCCACCATGACAGGCTTCTCTTCATCTCGTCCTGGCTTTGGGCCCGTACTTGATTAAGCTCAATGTCATCAACTGATCGAGCAAGCAGGCGGTCTTTGAGTCTGTCCTTTGTTTCACCTAATGCCTTGTCATAGCTCCACCAGCTCCGGAACGACTTCTCTGGAAAGAAATCATCTTTGGAGCAACAACATCCCCTTCTCTTAGTTGCACTGCCATCATCACTAGTTCCACTACTGCTCTCTATGGTTGTCATATTTCTGCCTAGATACAAGAAATTAAATAAGTTGACTTCATCGAGAGCATTCAGAATATGCATAGTGGGAGAAGCTACTGCGGCAAATCGTTCAAAATCTAGCAACGTTTCCACTTCCATCTATCTACTCTCCACTTAGATCCCAGACCCACCGCTAATCAATCACTGTGTTGTGGTGGTGGTTGTTTAACGGAATGATAATCTTACATATATTATTAACTGGATCAACTCCACTAAGCTTTTCTACCTAAACAAAAAAAAAAAAAAAATCCACTAAGCTCTTTTTATGTTACTTTCTGAAACAAATGATGATTCATCTTGTTTGCATCCTCGTTTCATTCTTTTCATTATTATCTATTACATGTTCTCATCCCATAAAAGTAATTTCTTTGCCTCCAAATTAAGCCCAAACCAACTTTTGATTAATCTTAAACCAGCCAACGTTTTAGGCTATCTATGTTTGGTTGGATAGAAAATAAAATTCGTTAGGTTATGTTTGGTTGCAGTGCAAATCTGAACCAGATAAAAATTTTGCATCTGTTTGTTTGTACGTAATTATAATTTGCACCTTTACTCGACACAAAATTTGTACTTTTTTCTCATTTTTGCACCCGGCCACCATTAGTGTAATTAAAACTCCATTTGTTTGCAATACAAACGCCGAACTGGGGTATTTATGCACCCCGGTTCACATTTGCGAGCATTTGTTTGAAATGTAAAAAAGTAATGGTTATCAAAGCAAAAATGCATTTTCTGACAGTTTTGTACTCTAAAAAGAGAGCATTACTGTACTTATTTTTTGGATACAATTTTGTATTCATTTGATAATTAACTTTTTGACCAGTATTGGAACATAAGATAATTGGAGTATTTAATGATGGGCCCACACCTTTGCATCGATTTCAAGCAAACAGGATAAATGCAAAAACGATTTAAAATGTGAACCATATTTGCATCCATGAACCAAAAAATAGGTAAATATGTGATGTACATATTTGCGTTTACATTACAAACAAACGCAGCCTAAATTTTGCATATCAAAATTGATGCAAAACTTGCATCACCCACCTTTCTCCTACCTCAATTTTCTCTCATATAAAATAGCCAAGTAGGGAACTATATCATCTTACTTCCTACCTCACTCTCAAATAAATAACCACCCTCTCACTTCAATGCTCTTGCCTATAAGAGGGGAAAACACTATTTTACTTCTTATTGTACTTTTCACAAACAAACAAGAGACAAAGTCAAATTTAAAGCAAAAGTAAACCAAAATTTATACTTTACCTATTTTCATAATTGCATCCCCATGCATTTACACCAATGGCTGTGTTTAGTTGCAGTGCAATTTTATTTGCACTACCACAAATGTATGTGGTGCAAATGAACAAAATGCAGAGTTTGGTTTAATTTTGTTTTGGATTTTATTTTATTCTGTTT